GGCTGCTCAGCTCGAGCTGGACTCGAACTGCTGTTGCTCAGAGCTCAAACTCTTGAGCGAGCTCTTAACCAACTGAGCCACTCGGCCGGCCCAACAGGCCAATTATTTTTATTTCACTTTAGATTTATCTGTTTCATCATCATTAGATTCAGGTTATATGTCTTTGGAGGGAATACCACAGAAGTGAGTTTCTGTTTTTCTGAGTACTTCCTGTCAGATTGTGTAAAATTGCCATTTTTCCCATTTCTGACAACTTGAGTGTTTGCCATGCTTCTCCACTTTAAATCGATTCTTTTTCCCTTTGTAATTAAGTATTTTGTCGAGAGGTACTTTGAAACTGTGTATGCTGTTTCTCATTAGGCTTTCAATTTATTCATTGATATGTAACTGTATAAACTCATGATTTCCTATTAGATTCAAGTGATTATAATTCATTACTGTGATTGATTTAGATGCTCCAAATGATCTTTAATTTGGCCAGTGGGAGCCTCATCAGGCTGGTTTCTGTGTTAACTTTCACACGTTTCCGTCATTGTTTGAGCACTTGCATGCTTTCTGGCCGAAGATGTTTCAGATGAACATGTATTCTCTCCGCCCCAGTCCTGGAATCAGCCATTTCTCCAGGGACCCCTGGTTCCTTTTACTGGACACTAACGGTGCTCATTGCTTTTTGTGTGTTGCTGCTCCTGGGCACTCTCGTTAGATAGAACAAAGGAATATATGTATGCACATATACATTTATATCTATATTTCATACATCCATACATATGTGTGTACACACACACACACACACACATGGATGGATGGATGGATGAATTAAAAAAAACATGAGGGTCCTCTAATTCCAGTTCAGTGTTACAAGGTTCATTCTAGTTTTCTTCGTTTCCATGTTTGTAACTCCCTGCTCTGACAGTGAAAAACCTGGCTCCCGTTTTCCTTTAACATATTTTCCTATTTAATTAATACTCCTTATGTAACCAGTCATCTCTGCCACCACGCTTTTCTCTGTGTGGAAGGGCTCTGGCTCTCAATTTATTGAGTTTATGTATTTCATATTCATTTATGCTGGGCCTCGCTCCACTGTGTGGACACCACCCTCCTCACTGCTTGAGTTGAATCATCATGCTGAGCTACCCCATTGTTTGGACTTACTTCTCCTTCTACTTGGCCTGGAACTCCCTACGTAGGACTGCTTCCTCCCCTCCCACAGACAGACGTCCTCCTCACCCTCCTTGGGCTCTGACACCCTAGGCTAGGCAACCCTTTCACATAGAGTTTCAACAGTGCTAATAAAATAGTGCCTTCAGAGATAACTTGGACAGCCCATGTCGGTAGTTCAGTGTAGCCGAAGGCTGCCTCAGGAGATGATGAAAAGACATGAAAGCAATAGAGAGAAAATGCTTGCTTGACTGTACTAATAACACAGATGGAAGTGGAGCTCTGAGACAGATGGGCTACCATTAAGTTGGGCGCAGGACAAAGTAAAATCTGCCAAGAGTCATGGGAGTCTGGGTGTATACCCTTCGTAGATGAGCCCGCAGGTGCAGGTGCAGGTGCTCACTTTTAATTTTCCTAAAAGTTAAAAGGGTGTTTTTCCTGTGCAGCTGCCAGGCTGAGGGGTTTTAGTTTGATTGGTTTGGGGTTTTGTAGTTGTAAGTTACAGTTCTCCTGCTATACTGGCTCTTGTTGCCTGGGAGAAATCACACATGAACAAACTCACCTTCCACATTGTACTGACACCATTCTGTTTGCCAATTGAATATGAGCTAATTGGGGTTATAGGAACGTGTTACAACATAACAGACTGTACTTATTTCTCTGGAGGCTATTACTGATAGATGCTTTATTTGTTTTCTTCTGTTTCCTGCACGTCTCTTGTTTTCATAGTTCCTTTTTTCCTGTTAAAAAAAAAAGAGCTTTTTCTATTGAAATAAGTTCAAACTTACCAATAGTACAATCTCAGTTACCCTTCCCCAGATTCAATAGTTAGCATATTTCCATAGCTGTTATGTCATTCTCTCTATGACAGGATTTTTTTCTAACCTTTTGAAAACAAGTTACAGATACCATATCTTTTGATAATACCTTAATGATTTCTAAGAACAAGGACATCCTCTTAATATTACCACAGCATTAATTAAAATCAGAAAATTTAGCATTGCTTTTATTACTGTAATCTAATTTACAGGCCTTATTCATATTTTACCAAGTTTTCCCAATAATGTACCTCACAACGTTTTCTGGTTGAGTGTCCAAATCAGGTTCATACATTGCATGATTAGTTGGTCCGTCTCTTTAATCTGGAAGAGTTCCTTAGTCTTTGTATTTTATGACCTTGATGGTTTTGAAAAGCATAACGGGGTGGTATTGAATGTGTCTCTTTGGGTTTAGTCTGTTTCCTGAGAGTTATATACAGAGTGTACATTTTTGACAGACTACTCATGCTTTGTCTTTCTCAGGGCATCACCAGGAGGTACATGTCAGTTTGTCCTTTATTAGTGACATTATCCTATATTACTTAATTTATGTTTGTTAGGTTTCTCTTCTGTAAAGTTGTTTTGCCCTAAAGTTATTTTGCCCTAAGACTCTGTGATTTTTGCCTGAATCGGTTTTTCCTATGATGGTTTTAAAATGGTGATTTTGTTTTTACTTGATCACTTTCTACATTTATTAGTTGGCATTCTGTATAAAGTAGAGCTTTGTCTTCTCCCCTATTTATTAGGTATTATCACTATTTACTCATGGATTCTTATTTTATCTGTTGGGTTATAAACATAACGATTATTTCTTTTGATGCTCAGTTGTCCCAGATTCGGTCAGTGGATGGACCCATTGTTTGTTTTACATGAACCCAATGCTTTTTGTATATAGCCTCATCATTTTTTGAGTAGTTCATTACTTTGTGGCACAAGATGATTAAGGTTCATCGAGTACCTTCTCTATCCCAGCCCTGGAATCAGCCATTTCTCCTTTTAGTGAAAGGATATTGAGAAACCAAAATCTATATCAATTTCTGTATCTCTATCAGAAAACAAACAAACATGGGTTCATACTGATACTAATCTAACTTCTTAGTCTTTCTCTAGTCCATATTTGTATCTATCTCTACATTAGTAAGAAATTGCTTCCCAGCTTCATTGATACGGGTGTGATACAGGGTATAAACTTACTTGTTACGCAAACTTCAGCCACTCTGTTTTTAAGTCTTTTATTCATGTGTAACTTCCCCAGTAACTGTTGGGTTTTTTTGTTGTTGTTTTTTTTTTGTTTAAAGATTTTTATTGGGGAATTGGGGGGATGGGAACAGCGCTGGGGAATTGGGGTAAGGGGAACAGACGAGTTGCTGTCCTTTTGTTCTTCAGTCTAATTGTGGAGGACGTTGCTTCACTGGCCCAAGTTGGCACCATG